ACGGATTACATACATGGGAACTCTGAGGTTCCTCCTCCATCTTAAACACTGTGATTTTGGTGCTGGGGATGAATCTGTGACCCATCGAGTGGTAGCTAAATAAATTCAAGGAACCTGAGCTGTCTCTGAGCCCCATCTCTGCTTGAGGTGTTAGAATTCCCATCCCAGAGAAAGCATCTGGGTACATTTTGTTCTGCTTTTTCATGGCAATTTTCCATGCTTTTTCTGTTCTTTTTACATACTGGCTGTGGCAGCTGTACATCATTGAGCACACTGTAGATAAAGTCATTGCTTTGGGGAAGGTGCTCCTTCTGACCTAATGCACTGCCTGCCAGTGATTGGGAAGCTTATGTAGTGGCCACATTCTAGATATTCTTATCTACACCGTGATTTATCCAGAGCACACACAGCTACACCAGCCACCAACATGCTCACACACCACACAAACTCTGTGTAGTAGCATTTTAGGATTGTCTAGAGGACTGAGTGAAGGCTTGGAATTCTTGTCCAAAGCCTGGCTTAAACCCTGTGTGACCTTGCGCCTTGGTAAGTGTGAGCCAGCAGCCTGGGGCCATCTGTGTCCTGCATGAGCATGTCTCAGGTCCTGAGAGGCACGAGCTGTGAATTTCCCCATCCTTGGGGGTCCCCTATTCTGGGCCAGCCTGCACAGTCCGGTCCAGGGCCCCAGGGGTGCAGGCCGTCGAGACAGTGCTGGGGATTGTGGTGTAGACAGGGAGAATAGAAACCCAGGTTACTAGGCTTCTGATCCACCACGTAAGTGGTTGTGGCACTTCTTCGTGGAAGTGCATATGGCCCTAGTGATGGAGATGTGGGCTGAGGTTTCATCTCTCTTGTTGGGAAATATATCAGGTTCTAGGAGGAAACCAGCCACAGCAGCCTGTGAAAATGAAAACCACAAGTTGGGGCTTGGGGTTTCCTGTACACCCAACCGGAATAAGGAGGTGGTGCAGACTTTACAGGAGAAAAGATGAGCAGAGGTGAGGTCCCTTGCTCCCTCTTTTCCATTTTGACCAGTAGTGTGCCTTCTAGAGAGCCCCAGGGCAGTGCTGGTTGGGCTGAAGTCACATGCACAGCAACACTGTTGTCACCTGTGACACAGGTGCTGGCTCTGATCTCATGGTCATCACAAGGCTGGTCCAGTGAGAAGAGAGGTGGGGTGCCAGGTCCCCAGAGCCTGTAAATCATACTGCTACTGCTGGCTTGACCTGGACTTCAGGTGGCAGCCGCATCCTTTTAGACAGAGAATCCACTCTGCTGTTGGGACGTTTGTCTCTCCACAGTCTCTTGTGCCCACTGCCTCTGTGCCCTCCCCAGGCCATGGCCTCAGCCAACTTGCTGCTGCCCAGAATCCACAGCAGTGGGGCGAGGGAAGCCAAGTTCATTTTTGTTTTCCTGACATTCAGGGTCTTTCGTTCCTTCAGTGTCTCAGATGGCCCTGACTCTGGCCATTGGCAGTAATGGGATGAGGAGGAGCATGGAGAAAGAAGAGGAACAAGGGGTCCCTTTGCCCAGCAGCCCCAGCGACTCTGTCCCAGCTCATCCCTGGGCTGCAGTATCGCCCCAGTCCTGGACCTCCTTGGCAGCAGACCGATGCTGCAGAATCAGGGAGCGTTTCTGTGGCTTGGGAGGGAAAGTATCGGGACAGGCTCTACACCCTGCTCAGAGTATGGGCATCTTCTGTGGAAGACAAGCTGTGCTGCACAACGTTGCTCTTGGCCGTTCGTCTTGGCCACTTTGGGTCATGCAGGCTCCCTTGGGCACCCTGCTGGGTGAGCCCTGGTTTCCTCATCTGCAGCAAGAGGGAGGCTGCTGCCATGTGGGCTCAGATGACATGAAAGGCAAGAAATCGGAGTCCCTTGCTGTCCCCAACCTTGAGCTTCACTGCAGCAGCAGCTCCAGGTGGCATTGCTGCAGTGGAGAACATCTACCCCAGGTGCTGGAAGCCCAGAAGGCAGACTGTCCTGGTGGCCATCTGGACTGCCATGGTGGATCCCTGGGATTAGAGCCAAGGGTCTTTGAAGAGGACTGTGGTCCTCTTGGTAAAATAGAGCTCTGAGCAAAAAGAAATCCAAAGCCCCACTCAGTTCCTATGCACAGTAACAGTTATCCCCGGAGCATTTTCTGTACTGCCTGTACCTCCTCTGAACATGGTCGTGGGGCCAAAGCTGTCTCCCCTGAGGTCCAAGTGTTGAAGCCCTCACCCCTGGCATTGCAGAATCTCTTTCAAAGGATGAGGAGTTTAAAGGAGATCACTAAGGCAGGCCCACCCAGCATAATTGGTGTTTTGCAAGAACTGAGGTTGGGACTGGCGTGCCCTGCCAGCCTGGCATGGACTGGCACCAGGCAGGCCGTGTTCAATGCCCAGCACTGCAGAGGCATAGGGAATCAGATACAGACCCCTCACAGGCTAACCTCAGGAGGACACAGGGAGGAGACACAAGATGGGCCACGGAGTGGGCAGGGGGGCGGGGTGCTCAGAAGGAAGTGGCCAGAACTCCGGCCTGGCCTTGGACCTCCCTGTGCTTCCTGGGGGAAGCAGCTCTCTGTGGCTGCCAGGCTATGGTGTTCCGTGACAGGTCAGGAACTGTACATTCAGTCATAGCCGACAAAGTTTGTGGGGCTGAGCTTGCTGTTTATGTTCTGATAGAGTTAGGTGGGGTGGTTTTGCACCAAGGTTCGGTGTGCAGAGGGCCTGGCATTCCTGGGGAGGTGGCTCTCCGGGCCTATACCTCTCCCACTCTTGGCAAAGTCTCTCAGGGTGCCTGGTGTCACGGGAACTCTGTGGCTCCTTGAGTGAACTCACATTTGTTTTGGGAAAAGGTCAATAACATACCATAGTCATGGGTCAGTCCTACAGGGGCACTGGTAACACCCTGTGGTGGCCTCGAGCCACACATCCACTCAGTTGCTGTTGCCGGGCCTGGGGCTCTATGCCCAGCTGAGTACTGAGACTGGCCCTCCAGGACTCTTTCAGGTGCTTTAGTGGCCCACACATTCGATTGGGTCCACCAAATAAATTTCCAGGTGTTCTTTCTTGACATCTTTGTCTCCCTAAAAGCCATGCTCCCTGGTCCAGGCTGCGTGGGCATAGCATAGACCTCAAGAGGAGGGTTTTGTCACCTGCCTAGTGGCTTCAGGCTCCCCTGCCTTCCAAGCAGGAGTTTCAGAGTCCATTCTCTGATCTGGGCATGGTGGCACGTGTCTGTAATCTCAGTGCTCTGGGAGGCTGAAGCAGGAAAACTGGATTGCATGTTCAAGCCCACCTTGGGCAGTATAGCAACTTATCGAAACCATGTCTCATCATTTAAAGGGGTGGGGTGGGGAGCTGGGAGTGTAACTCAGTGCAGTCTGTGATGAGGCCTTGGAAGCTGCTGCTTGATGAATCGGTGCGTGGGTGACTCCCGTTCATCCTGCACACACCTCAGCACCCACACCGAGCTGGGCAGGAGTCCCAGGCTGCAGACCTCAGACCCAGCTATGGGCACTGGGTCAGCAGCTCGTCTGCCCAGGCGAGGATGACCACCTTGCAGCTTCAGTCCTTCCAAGCCCTGCCCAAAAGCAAGGCAGTGGAAGCCCAATCGGCTATGAGGACCAGCCATCTCCCCTCCAGTTTGAGACATAGAAGGAGAGAGCGAGGTAAGGTGCCCCAGAATTCTTTGGTGTCCTTTTGTAGGGAGAAGGACAGCTACAGATCCTCTATGTGGACTGGGCAGAAACCATGCTGGCAGGCCAGTGGCCACCTGTGGGGAGGGCTGCAAGCCAAGACCAGGACATCCTGGCCCTCCCCTCAGGGCCACCCTGCGTCCCTGCCCTGGAGTGCTCCAGAGTGCCGCGGGTCGGAACTGGTTTAAAGCATATGTAAGGCTTTTCATATCCCACCCCTGCAGCACATCCAGCCCATCTGGGACGCGGTAGATCTGGAATTGAAGTCACCATCTGAGCGATGATGCCTTCAATTTGACATAGTGGCTCATGTTTTCTAATACACATCAGTCTGTTGTGGGAGATTTGGCTGCTTTTTGAGAACAAGGGGCAGAAAGGAGGGTCTGGGCTTCCATGGTGGAGGCCTGGGCCTGGGGTGGGAAGGATGGCATGGCCCTGCAGCTGCTGTGGAGAGCTGACTGCTCAGGATGCAGTGTTGTAACCTCCTTTAGCCCACCATCTGCCCAGATCAAGGCTGCAGAGCATGTTAATGCCTTTCTCTGAGAGGTGATTTGAACCCATGGTGAATGTTTAAACTTTAAAAATGTATCACAATAAAAGACCCTATCATGAATCCCCCTCAGAACACTGCCCTCAAATTGAACTCACTGATCCTATCGTCCTTGTCACTTTCTGAAGCAGGTCTGGAGCCCTCTTTCCTGAGAGTCCCTAGTTGGGCTGTCAACTGGCTGCCTCAATGTCCTGAATCGATTCAAAAAGCCTTCCACAGTCATTTTGACTTTGGGGATGAGCCAGAAGTCACACAGTGCCAGATCTGGTGAATAAGGTAAATGAGGACACAGCGTCATGTTCTTCAGAGCCTTCTTTTCTGTTGGTTGGTGCTCAACAGCAGCATTCACTGAATTTTTGGTCACACCTTGTAAAGACATGAAGAAGGACTCTAAAGCTGCTTCTGAGAGTCACAAGAACAATGGGATGAGTGCGTTTGAATGGAAGAGAGGAGTCTTTTGAGAGGGATTCATGGCAGTGTGTCTTTTACTGTAATTTTAAAAAATTTGAACTTTGCTCACCATATCTCTGATTTCCCTGAGGGACCCTGGGATGTGTGTAATGCTGGTGATCCTTCCCTAACTCTGCACAGTTCTAGTCACTTTTGGGTCCCAGGTGACCTGTGTATGAGTGGAGGAGAGCTCAGCTTAGTCTTACCCAGAGTAACTTCTCTACACCACAGGCAACCTCCAGAGGGTGCTTTGACCCAGCCCGCATGTCCCCCGTGCCCGGGTCCCACACAAACTGAGCTCACTGTCTCCCCTCAGGCCTCGGCAGGACTCGCAGGAAGCCCAGCGCGCGGGACGCGTCCCCGACACCCAGCACGGATGCTGAGTTCCCAGCCAATGGTGCAGCCGACCGCATCTACGACCTCAGCATCCCGGCCTTTGTCAAGTTCGCCTATGTGGCCGAGCGTGAGGACGAGCTGTCCCTGGTGAAGGGCTCTCGAGTCACTGTCATGGAGAAGTGCAGCGACGGCTGGTGGCGGGGCAGCTTCAATGGGCAGGTGGGCTGGTTCCCATCCAACTATGTGCTGGAGGAAGTGGACTCGGCAGCCGCCGAACTCCCTGGGATGCCCGGGCCACGCAGGGCCCCCGGCCTGAGCCTTACTCGGGGTACGCTGCACGTGGTGCAGACACTGTACCCGTTTAGCTCGGCCACTGAGGAGGAGCTGAACTTCGACAAAGGCGAGACCATGGAGGTTATCGAGAAGCCCGAGAACGACCCTGAGTGGTGGAAGTGCAAAAACGCTCGGGGCCAGGTGGGCCTGGTCCCCAAGAACTACGTGATGGTGCTGAGCGATGGGCCGGCCCCGCACCCCGTGCCCACCTCCCACCCGGGCTTCTCGGGGCCCTCAGCCAGCGGGCGCTTCGCGGGCCGAGAGTGGTACTATGGCAGTGTGACGCGCCACCAGGCCGAGTGCGTGCTCAACGAGCGGGGCGTGGAGGGCGACTTCCTCGTCAGAGACAGTGAGTCCTCGGTAAGTGCAGGAGGCCACACAGTGGTCCCTGTCATCTGTGAGTCAGTTACCCCATCGGCAAACAGGGAACAGCTTCCCTTGTTAACTTTATCACACTGCATTGTTAGAGTCGTTAGCTACTGTTACTCCCTTCCTGTGCCCAATGCAGGGGGTGGACTCTATTCCTCTCCCCGTGCATGGGAAGGAACGTGGTGCTTGCTGGGCTTCCCTACCTGCTGCAGTTCAGGTGCCCCCCGGGGATCTTGGCACTGCTGTGTGTCCCTTGCAGGGTAGCTACTGGGTAGCGCCCCCGGCCAGGTGGTGTGAATGTTCTGGAGGTAGTGAAGGGCATCTGGAGCTGATATAAGCTGACTCAATACAACTTGTAGATTTGTGATTCGGTGTGGGTCTGTGTGGGGGTGTTGTGAGCACCTGTCCCTGTTGCCACCTGCTTTCCCTGAGGCAGGAGGGTAAATTGAGTGTTCTAGGCCTTGTGTCCTTGTGCCCCAGGGCTGTCCCAGAGCCCCAAGCGTCCTCTTCTCTCTATAGGAAAGACCCTTGCCCCTGAGTGCTTGCTGCTGCCCTTGTGTGAGGGTCACAGCCTCCAGTGGCAACTGCATTGTCTTTCTCTAACCCATCCCATCCCATCCCATCCCATCCCATCCCATCCCAAGGTCTTCATTGCTGTGGCAGCACCGCCCAACTCAGCTGTAAGCCAAGGCTAAAGCCCCTTCAGGGAGTCTTGGCCTGTCCCATGTGCCCCATGGAGACACGCAGCTGTCCCCAAAGCTGCCTTCTTTATAGTGAGACCCCATACTAGAGTTGTGAATGCAGTGTCCAATGTCATTGTTACTTGAAGCCCTGGTTTCATTTCTCAAAGGCAGAAGGTAGGACATATGCCTGTGCCCAGCTGGCACCACTTTCTCCACAAGCCAGTGCACTCAGGACCTATGGCAGAGAGGAGGAGCTCAAGGCCGTAAAAGGGGGCTGGGTCTGTCCTCAGCATTGTCAGGGTGGTGAGTGGACCCTCTCTGCTGTCAGCACTCTGCAGGGCCAGCACGCCCTGAGATGTCTAGGGCAGGCGCTAGGAGGGGCCCACTTCTGAAACTGGAATACCCAGGCCGCTCATGGAGCTGCTAGAGTTGGTCATGGCTGGCAGGATGTCACCCAGAGCCATTCTCATGCAATATCAGCCTGGCGCCTGGTGCTCTCAGAGCAAGTTGAAGGCAGCAGAGAATTGGGAATTGCACTGTCTCTTTCTGTGGTGTGGACACTATAAGAAAGAGCTGCAAAACCAACTGTAGGATCAAATGTTCTTCCTGGGGAATTCTCTAAATTGGGTGCATAATCCTGGTTAAAGATGATGAGTGTGAAGAGGCTAAGTGTATAGACAGAAAGGCAGGAGACCAGGAAGTGTGGTACCCTCCACCTATTCCTGGTCTCTGTGTAAGGTGTGGGAGACAGGGGTGGTGCCCCGAGAGAAGGTTCATGGAAGCAGTGTCACCTCTGCATGGGACACTGCGGGTGCTCATCACTGTCTGAGTCCAGGGACCACGTCCTTTTGAATGGGGAGTGGCCTGTGTTATTCTGGTTCCAGCTCAGAATGTGAATAGACCGCGCTGTTTTGTCTGTCTTGCATTATTAGATCCACTTTGTAGATGACAGCAATGCCAGTTACTTGCATTTTTAACCATTTTTATGGATCTTTTCTAGGTAGTTTACATTCAGCTTTAACTTAAGAGCCGAGGTGGGATACGGTGGTGTGTGACCATGTGCTTGGGAACCTAGGGCGGGGGTTATGCCTTGCTGGGACTCACAGGCTCCAGGCAGCAGCACAAGCGTGGCCAGGGGCTCCTGAGGCCCCACTGTGTGTAGGTGATCATCCTGCTGACCTCTAGTGACAATGCCATTTGCATCTGTGGGGCTGTAGGCATGTGGCTTCCTTCAGCAGTGGCAGAGCAGGCCAGGCATACTGAGTCCTAACCAGGCCCGATCTCTGGTATCGCCTGATGGACAGGTGGACATATCCTTCACGTAGTCCTTTTCAGCCTTCCACTGACCCTGCCCCGTCTCTTCCTGTTCATTTGCGATCTCTTGGGTCACAGCCTGGCTTTCACAGCCACCACCAAGCCACTGAGAGCCCTTGGGTTTGTGATCTATCATAATCTCGGATCACCGTGTGCTATGAGACGGAGGTTTCTGTGTGGCTCAGCCTCCCCACGGGACTCAAAGGCCGGCTCTTCATGCCATTTCCTTGGTGTCACAGGGCCTGGGACTCCCTGTGATGGAGGGAACCACAGGCAGCCTGGCTTCTGAGCCAGCACAGCCGTTGGGACATGCACCTTCAGGATGTGTGTCACTTAGAAATGTCCCACTGACCGAGATGTAAATGAGCTAGATTCTTTTAATATGGCACTTGGGATTGAACCCAAACCTTCACACTGAGCTATATCCCCAGCCCTTTTTTATTTTTTTATTTTGAGACAAGCTAAGTCCATAAGTTGCCTAGGCTGGTCTCTCAAACTTGCTGATTTCAGAGAGTAGAGTGCCTCAGCCGCCCACAGAGCTGAGAGTAGAGGGTGCACCACCTCATCTGGCTGGTATATTTTGCATTTTAAAAGGCTTGCTATTTTTCTCCTTTGAAGAATAAAAGCATGTCCATCTCTGGGTGCTAGCAAGTCAGGCCCTTTGAGGGGACAGGTGCATATTTCAAGAACAACAACTGAAACCTTTGCCATATCCGGGCCATCCTGTCCAGAAGTGTCTGTTGGACACCTGTTGGATCATTGGGGAGTGGACAGACAGGCTCACCTGTCTGATCTTCCTCCCGGTCTCTCTCCTTCCCTATGTTGTCTCCAGTTGTCCTGGTATCGTTTCTTATCTTCCCTGAGTGCTTCACAGTAGCCCCTTCAGCTGTGAGCCAGTCCTACCCAACCCAGGAGTCAGGGTCCTATCTGTCCTCTGAGCTCACAAGTCCTTACACACATGTACACACAAACTCTGGACTCCGTAGGAAACCAGCTTACAGTTAACTCTGTTTCTGGCCAGACGTGCAAGGTGCCAGCACTTCACTGTCAGTATGTAGCCATATCCCTCATCCTCATAGAGGTGGAGCAGGAGGGGTCAGAGCAGAACCCGGCTGACAGAGGGCTGATGGCTCAGAACTCGTGTCCACGGGTTGTTTCGTCTGGGAGACTTTAGATCTCAGAGTGTTTCCCTTCTACATAGCGAGTCCCACAGCAGCACACTTTTGTCATAGAACACATTTGCTTTGGATAGAGAAAAACTGTCTTCCTAAGGAAAATTTAATATATCTATTGGCCTTACAAAAGGTCGATATGTGCTTTGCTCCTCTTATTTTTAATCTGTTCATATTGCCTGGCCAGAAAATAAAAGAATTAGAAGAGTTCCTTGGTAGATTTTTTAAATTATAAAATTTCTTATGAAAATCTTCTCTAACCACAGTTTCATCAGTCCACCTCGGTAGCCAGGGATTCATGTGGCAGTTCTTACATGAATCCCTTGGGGCCTTGTTAAAAGAGGGGTTTGGGGAACCTACCCACCTACAGTGTTCTGGTCTGGGCCCCAGAATTTGCATTGGCAGCACATTCCTCTGGCAGCATTGCTGCTGGTCCCTCGCACTTATTATGCATTTGTAAATGATTTCATGCATTTTATAACAGTTATTAAAACACCATTTCTGCACAATACTGCATCCCCAGGAACTGTAAAAAATGCTTAAAGATGAAAATTACAGCTCTGCCCTGAAGTTTAATTTTATGTAGCACTGTTGCCTCAAATTCATCTCTTGAAGTGTTTCTGTTCATGTTTTTACTCTTTTTTTTTTTTTGGTACCAGGGATGGAACTCGGGTCCTTGCGCTTTCGAGAAAGGGGACAGAACCACTGAGCTAAAACCCAGGCCCTTGTTTTTACTCTTTTGAGTTTGATTTTACACCTGCCCCTGTGTTCCTGTGTGCATTCTGGAGCTCAAGGAAAGAGCTCCCCGGCAGTTCAGGGGAGCAAAGCCAGCAGTGGACTCACCTAGGGACCTTCAGCTGCCCAGGTCATGAGGTCTCCATGTGACTGGTCTCGTACTGTCTCATTTCTGTGTATTGTGCCCAGTACCAAATGGCAGTTTTAGGCCTGAATCTGTGTAATCTTTCAAACTTGACTTTGGAAGGTTCTATTGTAGGAGACATCCCCGCCCTGTACTAGTGGGGTATAAGTGGCACGTGCTTCTTGCCTTCCTTAATTCGGCTATACTGTTTTATATCAGGAGTCAGACCAAAGCCCTTTGTGACTCAAATGGGCATGTCAGCTAGCAGAGTTGGGCTAGTATTGCTCCTTTGCTAATGGCTGTCACTGAGGCCTAAGTCCTGGTCTGTGAAGTGGCAGGGCCCTGCTAAGTTACATGTAGCTGAGGTCCGTGTGACCCCAGTTAAAATCCTTTCCCCTAAATTATTGCTTCTCACTGACCTTGTGGGTTGCTTGCTAATTGTACTGATTTCTTCTATCCTAGCAAGATAAGCAGTGCCTACTCCCTAACAGCCCTCCCTAGTGCCATCATGCCAGGTGTTTGGCAGTAATTCACTAGATGACTTCAAAGCTCCCTAGCTTCCTTATTCCTTCTTACGATTGTATTTAATAAATAGTGGATGTGCTTGAGGGTCTTTGTCTTTCCTGCCATCAGCAGCACTGACCAGGGCCCAAGATTCAACTTCTTCAGTCGAAGTCTCGTTTCTGTCTGTTCTTGAATTCGCCTTGCGCTATTGTGGCTCACAGGCTAGGACCCAAGGCAGAAGTCCTGGTAATGTCCCCTTTCCTGCTCCCTTTACTCTGTGAGGTCCTCTGTTATGGACTCTTCTGGAGGAGTTCCGTGCTCAGCACTTGCTTCTCAGCTGTGCCAGGACCCTGGCTTGTCCGTTTTTACAACTCAGGTGAGCAGCCACAGGTCACACTGCTGTCTCTGAGAAGGAATGCCACAGTCTGGTTGAATCCTGTTCTAACCGCACAGCCAGGG